GGGAAAAAATTACGTATGTTTATTAAAACTGCTGTACAGAATATCTGTAAAAGGGCCATTCATTTCTTAGCCAATATGGATCTCGTTTATTCAGAAGCATGGAGTGCTCAACAAGGGCAATCTGCACTTATCACTGCCCATCCTAAATTCTATTTCAATCACATGCAGTGATGGACTTTGTGCTGTGGTGCCAAAAAGTTTCTTCACCAGTGAGGACCTTTCCAACTCACGTAATATGACCAATATTTCCATTACTACCATATCAATAGGCTTGTCAGATTTCACTCTTTTCTTGCGCAAAAGACAAACTAGTTTACTACTTATTATTTAACTACAGGGCAAGGATTTTCTTAAAATTCCGTGACAATTTTTGTCGCAATAAAATGGAGACACTATTTCCTTGCGAAAACCTTAAAACAGCACCATTACATTTTATGTCTTACCTTACTGAAATTCCCGAGAGAAATGGCAAGCGCCTTTCTGGAAAAAAATTTCTCTACATTATCACGTAGTATTTATGAATGAATCATGTACGAAAGAACCAGAAAACTTCATAAGCACTTCAAACGGCCCATTATTAGGAATAACGACGGGCGTAACCTCTCAGAATTTAGGTTTTGTGGATCGTACTTCTCATGGCAAATCAAAATTTCACAGAAAAAATGGACGAGAAAATGAATCTGATCAGTTGATGGAATTGTTTGAAGCGAAATATGGATGGCGAAGGCTTTTGTGAGTATTAAATCCAAAGTAAGCATTCAGCTAGGTATGTAGGCGAAAACAAAGCCTGTCACCCGAAAATTCTTTTGAATACTGTGAGATTGTAAAGCCTGGAAAACCCTGTAAATGTTACAGCTTTCGAAAAATTCTAGAATACATTTATGCAGAATCAGAATTCATTATTAAAGCAAAATGAGATATAAAAAAAAATGGCTCAACGATTCAAAGCTTATGAAAATTCTAGAGAAAGTTCCATACGTATACTCGATGGCAGATTTGTCAATGTTACTGATGAGATCGCAAGGAACGTTAACCAGTGAGTATCGACTGTTTTTGCACGAATTTGATCACACTACTTTTCTCAGCTTCAATCTTGAAAA